TATATATGTATATATATATATATATATATATATATATATATATATATATATATATATATATATATATATATATATATATACATATATATATATATATATATATATATATATATATATATATATATATATATATATATATATATATATATAATTATTATATATATATATATATATATATGTACATATATATTTATATATATATATATATATATATATATATATATAAATATATATATATATATATATATATATATATATATATATATATATATATATATATATATATATATATATATATATATATATATATATATATATATATATATATATATATATATATATATATATATATATAAATTAAATTAGTAGAAAATCTCTTAACAAAATTTTTTTTCTCTTTTACACTGTGTTTCATCAATAAAGACTCATCAGAAATGAATGATCAAATTAATTAAACTTCAATTTATACCCAACAAAATTAAATTACAGGAAGTCGCAAATGTCTTAACTACTGTAAATTTTCACAAATTTGTGGATTATGCTGACATAACATCGTTGTAATGTTGCTTCTCTTTCTCTTTCTCATTTCTACTATAATGGGCACTGCTCTAAAGAGCCAGCGTTTCTTGTGCCATTTAATAAAATTCATTCTCGTGTTACTCGTCATTAAGTCTCATCTTTTTTCTGTGACTTTAAAAAGTTTCTAAGTGCTTTAAAATCCTTTAAAATTCTTCCTTAAAATTCTTTTTGTTTTTCCTCGAACATCAGTTTTTTAGAATTTGATTTTTTAAATTCCCATATATATTTTCACAACATGGTGTCTTTTGAATGCTATTTATTTTTGAAAAAATTACTTATGTTTGGAAAAATGTTTTTTCCACTCACTCTGTTTTTTTTTTTTATTTATTTTTTATTTTAATTCACCTCCTCAAGGCCGAGAAGGCCACTACAAACGAGGAGGCTACTTATTTGTGGTTATAACCCTCTCTCAACTCTATAACTCCGAAACACGAATCTTGACGAACAAGGCTGCTGCGCGGAGAAACAAGTTGAGCGCGGTACTACCAGGGACGTGGTGGGGATTAATAAAGACTCATCAGAAATGAATGATCAAATTAATTAAACAATTTACTGTTATGCCAATGTATTGTTTATCAGGTACATTTTTAGAGAAAACAACACATTTATATACCACATTTTTTGATAAGCAACTTCCATTCATTGGACAATTGTTTTTATGTTTATAATTACAATTTTCTGTAGTTTTTTCATTTAGGATTTCTTTTTTGTTTAACAAAGCTTTATTGTGACCTTTTATAATTCTTTCCATATTTGTATTACAAAATGAAATAAAAATTTTATGCAATTTATTAGAGGGCAGGAAATGCTTAATGACCAATTTTAAAAACATTTCTATGTTAGTAGAATTATTTTTACAATATGGGGGGTTTAAACAAATTACTTTTCTAGTTCTATATCGCTTTATGGTATTCTTTTTTTCAGGGTCAAATTATAGTTAAAATTTTCAAAACCACTATTTCTAAGGGCATCTTCAAATATTGGTGTAGAAGATTTTAATAAATTTTCAATAAAGGAGTTTTGGTTTAGCCCGTTATTAATTGAAATCGGAATTTGTTTTAGATTTTGGGATGAATGATTTGAGTCAATATTAATATACAATAATTCATCGTTTGGTTTTTTGAAAAGCTTATATGAATTTTTTGAGAGGTTTAATGTGACATCAAGAAAGTTCACAATTTTTAAATTTATGTTTATTTCGATTTGAAAACCAATATTTTTTAAAATTTTTTTATCTTTTGTAAATTTATCAAGCTGTAGACCAGATTTTTTACGCATTACTATTAAACTATCATTGCAACAAAGGCCTAAATCATTTATATTGATTACTTTACTTAATAAATCTAAAATGTATAGTCCAACAAATTCACAATTTCTGCTCCGTCATAACTGACCATTGTTACGTCAAAGCAGTCATGCATGTTGTTTTTTTTTCTAGTTTCCTTATTAAAATAAAGTAAGTTTTTTCTACAATGTTTTATTATTCGGATTGTATCTTCAGAAATAACTGTGTGGCTTTTTGGAAATTCAATTGCTTTATCTAAAATGTTAGCAGTTATTGAGGCCTAAAAATCATTAATGTCAAATTGAATAAATGAACACTAATTTTTATTTTCGATTACAGAGAATCAATTTACAAACATCAGTTGTATTTTTCCACTTTGCAAATTTAATTTATCTCTAAGGATATTAATTTTGTCTATTTAAATTTTGAATACGTGTCCAATCTCACTTTTTGAGGGAACCAATAACCTACAAGAAAGTTTGTTTTGAAAATTTGGTTTATGGTCTTTTAGTGTTACGAAGGCTTGAGCAGGGGCAGTTGATTTAATTCTGTTATCATAATAGAATTGAGTCAACTGCTCTGTACATATTTCATAAAAAAAACAATAAATTAATTATAAGTAAAGCAAGTTTAAAAAATCAGAGGTAAGAGGTGTAAATTTGAAAAAATTTATTAAAAATTTTGAAAAGTTAATAACTTTTTATTTATACCTTTGTTATATTAATATCATTCATTTCACGTAAAAGAATGAAATTATAATTAAAATATCAGAAACAGGGCACAATACTTAAAATAAAAAGAGTTATAAGAGTTTATTAAACTATTCTAAGTTGATTATTTTATCTAAAATCTGTACAGTTAAGGAACAAACACTGAAAATTTCTGACAAAGAAAAAATTTCTTAACCTCTAGTTATCAGATTTTGAAGCTGCAAAAAAAAATAAAATTAAAAAATTATAAAAACAATGAACAATGTTTTTCAATAAATATAAATTATTAGAAAAAAAATGTAACTGAATAATAAAAAAAATAAATAAGTAAGGTAATATTAATAGGTATTTTATGCAAAATGTTTATATTTTTATAAAGAAACAATAAATTTTGCATTGAATGTTATAATAAAACAAAACTAAATTTTTTTAAAAAACTTGAGTATTTTTCTATATGAGCTACCTTAAGTTTACCAATCTATAAAGAAAATAGTTTAGACAGATTTAGACAGTGGGTAGAGAAGCATTTCACAGCTTTGGAACACTTAAGTTGGGATATTGCTGACAGCAGGTCTTCATAAGCCGCCTCTGCATAGTGCTGGTTTGAAAACCAGGCCCGCGACCATGTAGTTGCAATGAAATCGCAAGTTATCCTCAGCTGTTCTTGCCAGTTTGGAAGAATGAAAAATGCAATAAGCGCAAAAATGCCTTTTGAGTTCTACCTGGCACTGTGCAGTGATAGCAGCTTGTGCCATTTGATATGAGGCCATATTTCCTCATTTTTGTAAAACTTGTATGCTTCACAAAGCTGAAAAAAAAATTTAAAGTCATCTATCCAGCCAAGGTACTGTGCTACCACTGCTGTGCCCTTGTAGGCATTTTTTAAATCATCGTAATGCTCCATAATCTCATCAATAAATTTGTAGTTAATGTTAGGCGACTGTGACTGTATAGGAAAAAAGAAATCCAACACATGTGGTAGAACAAGATCAAGAATGTGATGTTGGCAGCCGATGTATTTAGGTTCATCGAATCCCTTGTCTCGAAATGTTTTCTGAAGCCTGGCTTCAACTCCATTTTTGCGACCAGTATTTACAGCTGTTGTGTCAGAGATGATCATCTGAATACTGTTCCATGCATTGTAATCATCAAGTAGGCCCTGTAGTGGTTTATATATGCTTGCAGATGATCCACTGTCACAAACCAAAATGCCAAGTTGTAATGTTCTTTTGTCATTTTTCAAGCACACAACTTGGTACTCAGTCTTGTCAATTTTCTTACCATCAAAATGCAAAGAAAATTTCTCTCCAGAGATCAGTTCCATGAGGCGGTTCTTAACTTGTTCTGCATCTCTGATTCCAGACTCCAGACTGTGATGTTGTTGGGACACAAACTCCATCCTCAGCCAGACTTTGAAGCACCTGTGACGTTTTTCTGGTTGACAAAGAGTGACTAGACACTAGTTTGGCAGCAGACTTAGTTGACTGGCGTGTTGCACGCTTTCTGCGACATTCTCCTAGAACTACCTCCGAGTCACCACTGCTGTTTCCTTCCTCAGAATCCTCACTATCGCAGGAAAGTGGTACAGAGATAACCGTTTGGTTTGTTGAGGGTTCTGATGTGCTTTTGGCCCTTTTTGATGGATGGATTGTTGACTGATTCAATTTGTACTTTTTTCTGATTCAATTCGTACTTTTTTCAATTGTTTGTCCTCACTACAAAGCCAATTTCCATCTGGTTTTGTTATATCGAACAGATGAGCAAGAAGACAAACAACAACAAACGCGCATTAATTTGAAAAACAGTCTTTAAAACTTGTTATTCAAAATTGAGTTACATATCATAAAAACAATTTAAAACTATCAAACTTTTTCATTCTATGTTAATTAACTTTTTAAACTGTTTGACGCTCTCCAACTTGTAGTTATATTCAAGCATAGTCAAGCATAGTCAAGCATAAGGAAGTAAGAAATGGAAACAAAATCAAGTGAAAAATCGAAAAAGTCAAAAGTGGTGAGGAGCAAGGTGCGGGAGGTTTTTTTGTGATCCAACGAAATAAACCTCAAAACAGTGATCTATTGGTAAAAGTTCATCAAATGCAACATCAGGAAAATTAAAATTTTGAAAAAGTGTTTTTGCCATATACCTAATGAATATAGAGCTTATAAAAATAAACAATTGGTTTAAAGCTAATAAAATCTTAATAAATGTAGGTAAACTCATGATATATTGGTGCTTTGCAAAAATATCTGACGGCTATAGGCTAATATAAGAATATAGTCTAATTTTATTATATCAATTATTTAATCCAAGTTATTCAATACATGTATTTTTTCCATTTATTTTTTACCTATAAAGAAGGAATTGCAGCTCTTTCAATGATATATAACAATTTAATATTATATCAGTATAAACATGTTACTTACCTAATGGAAACTCTTTCTCAATAATTTGAACTATTGCTAGACAACGAAAGGTTATCAACTTTTCTTTTAACTCTACCCATGATTGTCTCCCTCTAGACTCAATCCACATTTCAATAACAGCTACCGCTTTTGCTTGAGCTGTTGCATGGTTTTGATTAATGTTCCTAAGAGCATAGACATCTAGCCAACTCGGGAAATAAAATTTGAAGCCAATGGGCGTTGAACCACATTTGCTAATGTAAAATAAAATGTCTATTTAGTACATAGTCAATATATTAATACTTATGTTAGTTAAGAAATAACATCAAAGTTGTTAGAGAGGGCTGTTCTAAAAATATGTGACTGTCTGATAGAGGAGGGGGGAGGGAGAGAAAGGGCCATAATTACAATAAATTGACAAAAGGAATAATGTTGCTGTTGAATAATGTTGAGATATTCTATAATATATTTCATTACAATCAGCCTGTTACAACAATATAAAACAAGGCGCTATATCATATATCATAATCATATGCCAAATATGAAATTAGAAATCTTCTTTTTATCATTAATTACAAGACTTTTTTAACACATATTTTTGTAAATAAAAAATATATATATATATATATAATAATCAACGCATAACTTTTAATAACCAAAATGTTGTTTAATCAAGTCTGATTTTTATGAAAAAAATAATTTAAATCATACTTTTTGGGTAAATATGCCCACTGAATTCTACATGGCATTTACATATGAAACCTTAACTGATTAGCAAAGAATTGATCTCAGTATAAATGAATTTGTTGGTAGGATCAATCAAAATAAAGAATATAAATAAATTTTACAAAAATAAAAAATAAAATAAAAATAAAAATAAATAATATAATTAAAAAAAATTAAAAAAAAAATAAAATAAAAAAAATTAAAAAAAAAAAAAATTTTCCACTTTGAGGCTCTGTGTTTTCCACTGGACATCTGTTCCTTTGTACTTTTATCTCACTCTGCTAAACTCTTTTTAACTTATTATTCATCCCTAAGGCGTTCACTGCTCGGTGCAGCTTGTACACATGTACACTAAATTGACTACTTACATTACACACATAGTTATAAGAACTCAAAACAGTTCACAACTCTCATTGACTCTGACAAACCACTGCACTTAACAGACACTCATGTCAAAAAACTACTTACTATTGTTTGCAAGTTGTACTGAACCCCGCTCAGTGTCCTCTGGTCACAGTGTCAATTCAGGAGTCTGTGGCAATCGTCCTGACTAGATACTCTGAGAATAGTGCTTTTGGGATAACACAATGGGATACCTTAAAAAGATACCCTGGTGTACACCCAGAGTGGAACTTCTTTTGGGATACCAGTCTCGGATGAAAGCTGGAGATCTTTATGTGTTCACACTGCACCATAAGGCACGAATCCATACTGTACTCGAGACATTCATGACACTTATATCTATAATGTATGTTTATCATCCTAATAATACATACCACATAGCGACTACTTATAAAACAAATAATTCTACTCCATCACCAATTCTATCTATAAATCACATTTACGCTGGACTCTAACAACAATTTAGTAGCACAACAACTAATGACTTTCCTTGACTGTTGTTTATTATTCTTATTTACTTTTTACTACACCTTACTGATATCAGTTTTTAATATTTTTCCACTTTGAGGTTCTGTGATTTCCACTGGACATCTTTTTATTATTGGCTAAATAATAAAAAGATATTATTTTTATTATTGGCTAAATAATAAAAAGTGAAACTAAGAAAACAAGAAAAAGGCAAATAGTATATATATTTTTGAGCGACCGAAGCGTTAAAAAAAATGCTAAAACTGTAGTTGCTAGCTTCTTTTTTTCATCAACAATACCCAAAAATCAAATGCAGCAAGAACATTGGTTCAAAACATTTAATTGCAAGAATACTAATAATGAAATGAATCTCCTAACTAATTATAATTATTAATGAGGATTTAAACAGAGGAATACTTTTGTTCTACCATCGTAGTCTCAGCGGATTCTGTCTTACGAGTTTGCCACAAAATTACAAATAATGACAAATATAAAGCAGAAGCCTTGATTGACAGTGGAAATTCAAATAAAAGATTCATTAATAAGAACAAGTAACTTTATTCAATTTAGAAGTTTTTTGTAAGGAGAATGCTACTGGAAAGAAATCAGTATCTATTTCAGCAAAAGAATGTCTAGAATGAATAGACATCATTCTAGGTACGGAGTTGCACTCAAGGGTTGATGAAACTAAGTTTGCTTGGACAGACAGAGAACTGCCCAATCTGGCAGTTAAGGAAATTGCAATTTCTATCTTGGTGGTGAATACAGAGAACTTTGCTGTGTTAGGTATTACAACGCAGACTCCAGGGGCTGTGAGGAAAATTCACTTTTTGGATAGTTAGTACAAACCTATCCTTGCTAAAGTAAGCGCACAAATTAATGAAGTGGTGTAAAAAGCGCTGCAAACTAGTGCTGAAAGTCAAATAACGCTCTTATTTAATACAGGCAGAAAAACAGAATTACAGCCTGCTGTAAATAATATAGCTAATTCAATTGAAATAGTAACTGATGTTAACAAGATTAAAATGTTAACATCGAATTAAACTAATAAAGAACAGCCTACCATTGTGCCAGTTAAACAAGATGTAATTGAAGGGGATCTGGAGAAATTTTATCTTGTATCATTTTGCAATTGTTAAATTGTAAAAGCTTAAACGCATTGATAGACCTTTGCATACTGCAGTGGAAAAATTGATCGATGTAAAACAAAAAGCAGGATTTTTAGAATTTTAGGACATGCCTGGGGTTTAAGATAACCTCAAAGAGTGGAGAATCAAGAGTTTTCAGATGGTTTTAGACCTAACGGGAATCTTCGTAAATGGAGGAAATATTCATTTTTGCAAAATTACTATAGATTGAAGAAAACTGTTTGTAAGATTCTTAATGGTGCTATTAGGGACACACCTCTGGAAAAGATTAGGCAAGGTTAAAGGAAGTACAACGTGCGTACGTTGACCTGCTAGAGGTAAGAACTCAGCTCGATGCCAATAGGATATTTCACAATGACAAAAGACTTGTCTTAGTAAGCTATGGCTGCATTACAATCAGAGAGGTAAAAAAAACAATTGGCGCAAGCAAAAAGGATTCCACTGTGGAATGCACCTACGGGATGTGAAAAAAGCGAACCCACGCACATTTTGTATCATGTTTAATATGTGGTACTTGCATGGAATCCCATAAGAGGAAAATAGGTGTTAAACAATATTCTTGCATAACGGTGGCGAGAAGGACTTAACGTCTAAATACCAACATGTAATGATCAACAGTATGCTGAATAGGGTTTATAATAAGACATGAGGCAGACAGATAAAAAAAAACCTGGGCTTCCGTTTGAGACAGAAAGTATTACCAGCAAACTCTCCATGCTTGGTCCATGGTTTATTGGCTTATGACCGGTACCACTGCACCGGTGATGCCGTTCATATACCAATGGTTGGCCATCTTAATAAGGATATATTTATATCTATCTTATCTTAATAAGCAGGCTATTCGATTTATGTACTGACTATTTATGCCAATAAATATTCTTTATGTTTATATTAAAAAGTCACCATTTTAAGCAAGTCTTGCAACAAGCTAAAAAACATCACACCGCTTAACTGCAGATTAACTTATATATTTAAAATAAATAATATGAAGATTTACATAAATAATTAGTAATTTTTTTTTAATAGTTTAGATATGCTTTATAATATTAATATGTTTGAAAATAAAATTATTTTACATCGTTATTACATCATTAAGATTATGATTATACTTTGTTAATGAGTATTAAAAGAAATACTGAATGTTCATCCTGAACAAAAAGAAAAAAATATAGTTGAAATAAATAAAATGAAAAATATGTAAACAGTTGGCTCCTAAGAATACTAGAAACGAACAGCTTAACAAAAATAAATTAGGTTTAAATAACTTTACGAATGTTTTGTTGTGTTTGCAAAATGTTAGTTCATCATGCATGCAGTCATTGCATCATGCATCAGTTTTGTTCACGATTTAAAGGTAAAAAATTTGGTTGTCTTAACTTTTCTTTGACATTTTATATATTTTTTATAAAATATAATGTTTTTATTGTATTAGTCAAGCATTGCAGAGTATTGGATTTTATAGTTTATACTCAATTTTGCAGGTACGCTTAAATCTGAATTTTACGGAACACTGTTTTCAGCCAATTTTTGACACACTTTATCAAGTTTGTTGAAAAAATTCCATGGTATAAACTTATTTTGCTCTATTATTTTATAGAAATGTGTATAAAAATAGACTTTTTCTAAATACTAGAATTATGGAACTTTAATTTTGCATGGATTTTTTTGATGTAAAATTCCTGACCACAAATGTATTATTTTCTGTCAACAATTTGATCATGGAAAACATTTTAAAAAACCAAAATAAAAACATGACAAACATAAAAACCTTGACAGAAAAAAGGCAATTACAAACAAAAAAACTTTAATATAGAAATGAAATAAAAATCAGAAAAAAAAATTAAACAATAAAAATTAAATAATCCAAGGTAAAAAAAACTAAAAACTGAACTAGTAAATTATAATCAATTTCGTTAACGATTAAATTAATTCAAACCTTTAATAATGTATTAATAAATTTAAAACACACTCCTTAAAAAATAAAATAACAACCCACTTTTAATGATAGTTGAAAAAGAAAGTAAATTTTATTTAATTTATCAAAGAAATATTTATAATTTATTGGATTTATGTTTTATTTCAACAAGATTCTAATAAAACAAAATCTAGTTGAATAAACGAAAAAGTAAAAATATATTTTAAAAAATTTTTTATATTAAAGTAAGCAAAAGTAAAAAACAATCATTTAGTTGCAATGAAAATAATAAAATCTTCTTTTCTTTAAGCAATGTTTTTAAAATGTTAAAAACATTTTATCAATATATAGCAGAACACTGAATCAGAGATCTGTAATGATCATTATCTACTCCTAAAGCTAAGAATACATTAAAAAAATTTATAACTCACTTTTTTTATGTCTATTGGTTTATTATAATAAAGTATATATTATAAATTAATATAAAAGCGGTATATTACATTCTATGAAAATTAAATTATTATTTTTTTATTTTGTAAAAAACAACTTATAGCTGGATCAGGTTAATTAAAAGCAAACTTTTATGGTTAAACTAAAGAAGTAAAAATAGTTTATAAAAAGGAGGCGGCTACACAATACAATTGATAATTTTAGAGAGTGTTTTTTTTTAAATATTGGTTCTGTCCCTGCTAACCTCTGCAGCCATTCATTCATAAAAATTGTTTTTATGAATAGAAGCAGAGGTTAAGAACTGCACTTATCATAAAAGTTACAAACTTTTAAATTAAAAAAAAGATACATATATTAAAAAATACATATATTGCTTGGAGCGAGCATTTGAGCTTGAAAAGGATCTTACTTCTACAGCATGGAGCTCTTAGTGGCTGGTGAACTCAGATAAAACTCAATTTTCACTTCTCATCTCTGCTAATTTTTATTTTAATAATCTAGATCATCCTGTATTTATGAACAGTAATGTACTTAATGAGTCATTTACCCTTCATCTTCTATTAATAATTATTACTTGATAATTTCTGGAAACCTTATATCAAAATGAGCATCTCAAATCTCAAATCCATCCAAGTATGGAAAACTGTTGCCATATCTAGGATGGGTCTTCCAATGATGCTCTTTCTCTTTTAGACAAGTTGTAAAAACACATTGTAAACATAGTTGGATCTGCTCCTGTAGCCAACCTCCAACCATTGTTACATTGTCATAATGTTGCTTCTCTTTCTCTTTCGTATAAATACTATAATGGGCACTACTCTAAAGGTCTAGCGTCTCCTATGCTATCTTGGTCATTCAGTTAAGTCTTTTTACTCAAACTGTTCCAAAAATTCTTAATCAAATAGTTTCATTCCTCGATTTTTTAAAGCCTAGAATTCTGAATCTGGAGTATTGCGGATGTTTATAGAAACCTGTGAAAATTTCTAGAATTTTCTAGAAATTTTAGTCTGGCAATTTATAGAAATTAGCAAGATTAAAACTAAATAAGCTTCCCGGTTGATTAATGCTAATAATTAAATATAAATCTGTATTTGCCATATAGCAGTCAAATAATACAGAAGCACAAAATTAATAAAATCTTCAAAGTTATCAACCATAAAAAAAAAAACTTACAGATTTTGACTAGTTTTAACAATTCTCTAGAAAAAACATCAGCAACAAGTAAATTGGATTGTAGTGTTAATATGATTTTCTTTCATGTTATAATTTCTTTTTTTTTTGTTTTCATTTTAGATATATCTTACAATGCTTTTTCAGCATATTGTAAAAAAATTAGAGGGCCCACTTTTTAAAGCCCATATTTTATAATGCTCATAAAATATGGGCTTAAATTTAAGACAAAAGCTCTCTCTCAGTTCCCCCTCCCCTACTTCTTTTTTTTCTTTTTTTTTTTTCTTTTTTAAAATAGAGTTTTAGATTTTTAAATAGTATTAAAAGATGATATTATAGCATGCCAAAAAAAGGTTGAAGTGCTTCAAATCCTTTCGTTTACACACTTAATTTTTAATTTTTTTATTTTCTAGAAGTAAAACATTTTTAAAAGCCTATAAATATTATATGCTAACATATACAGATATATATACTATACCAAAGGAAAGGGAGAGAGTTTTCTAAAAAGCTTTTGAAAATTTCTAAAAATATGAAAACACGGTTAGTAATTTGTGTGGATGTCTTGATAGAGATTCCCAAGTTATCAATGTGCTTAGTAATTAGTTAAGACTACGCATTAAAGACACAACTTTCTTTCTTATTGTGTCCCTTATTTTTGTTTGATCTCTTTGCAACTTATCTTGAGTAACTCCAAATGGTTTTAATATTTTCAAAATAAATTAGTTTGGTTTAAATTGATATTTTTTTTGATTGGCTTAAACTATTTGGTTTAAACCTACAAACCCTGCAACACACATTTCTATATCATAACTTTAATTTGAAAGTTTATATAATTAGAATTCTTTAGCTAAATCTAATGACTTAAGTTTTTATAGCAAAGATAATTAAATAATGATGCATAAAAGTTATATCCAATAAAATAAAATAAATCAAAATATAAAAAAAAACAATAACTTATAATTTATTAAACTTTGGAGGAGGCCTGGATCTAGCCTGCTAAACAAATATATAGGTAACACCAGTTACAACAGTAATTGACACCAGTTACTTGTAACAGTAATTAACACCAGTTAATTATTATGTAACTGGTATTTAACACCAGTTAATTACAACAGTATTTAACACCAGTTAATTACTGTTGCAACTGGTAATTAACACCAGTTACAACAGTAATTAACAGTAATTAACACCAGTTACAACAGTAACTAAAAAAAAAAACAGCATCAAACATGTTTTTTTCTGATCAAACTTTTAAAGAAATTGCAGTTTTTGCTGAAAATGTTTACTAGATAATCAATTCCAGTAAGTATTAACTTTAGCATTAACTTGTAAAAAAAAATTGAACTTCACTAATAAATTTCTATGACTTCTGTATGTAATTGATGAAGCCTATTTTGTAATTTTTTGCATAAGTTTTAAACTTTTTTTTAGCACGCTAATTTATGGCAACTACATACTTTACAAATTTGTATATAAAATCAAATCATCAAGGTTACAACTATTGTCCAATGCCATTAATCTTTCTAGTATTTTAATATATGTTAATGACTCAGATAAGGTAAAAGGTGTTAAACTCATTTATAAAATTTGGTGTGACAAGCCTAATAAAACAACTATATCCAAAAAGTATAATTAGTCCTACTGCATACTTAAATCACATTTGACTTATTACATACTAGATATGTGACCTTTACATTTGCCATTAGGATTTTACAAACTTTTAATGTCTTTTTTTTATCTCAGTAATAACTTGTGTAACTCCAACATCAGTATCTTATTTAAAGTTATTCTTTTAATTTTCTTATCTAAAATGATTAAGGTTGCCATTTTCAGCATTGATTAGAATTGACTAGTTGTTTTTCTAATTTACCACTTTCAAATTTATCTTGCATTAAAACATTATTGTTCAATGACTTAATGGTATGCGTATATTTAATATGTATCATTTTAAGTTAAAAAAGAGTTTGCAGGTATGAGAACCTGCAAACTCTTTTTTAATAATCTCATGTTATATCATTCTTACAATTGTATCATGATTGAAGTTTAATAAAGACCTTTGAGCTATTCTACTTGTGATACTGATAAAGTTAAACAAAAAACCACACACTGTTTTCAATTTAACAGAAGTAGTTTTAATTAACACATATACTTGTGTTTAAATAATAGGACTTTAGTTAGATAAACATTTGTTTGTGTGGAACAGTGCTGAATGTTAAATGTTACGAGAAGATTAGAAAAAAGAGTTTATTTGAGTTAAACCATGTTGATACTTTTCAAGTTTTTAAATAAATAAAACCAGAAATCACTAAGGTAAACTGCAATATGCCATAAGGTGATTAAATGACAGAAACTTTTGACTTGGTAATATAAAGCATTTTGAATAAAACTTTTTTTTTATATTCTAACATATATTATTGGTGATTTTTGAATATTAAGATCAAATAAAACATTAACTTTTTTAACAATCTATTTAAAAGTCAAATTCAGCAATAAGCTTTAAACCTTAGACATGTAAGTATAAAGTTTAAGGAATATATATATATGTGAATAATTAGGTAAAAGAGAGTAACAAAATCAGGGCATTATTATCAATTTAAACTTTTCAAAAACTGTACTTTATTTTACAGAAATTTATTTTTTATCACTAACTTATTTCTAAATGATTTATAATTAATAATTAAAACATACTTTTTAAGTATATGGTTTTATACAAAGTAAAAAATAGAAGTGTGGATGTCATGTTATATTTGACATTGTATAAATTGTCACATTCTTACAAAAAGGAACATACTTTAGTTATCAAACAGAAAGTTGACAATTGTAATAAGTCTTGCTGAAAATAAATATTTTTAATATACTTGTTCTTACTGCCTTCCTTTGTGAATATTTAATGATTTATTTTTAGTATTTTTCAACTAGGCTTGACACTATATGAAACTTTTGTTTTTAAGAAAAAAGTGTTTAATATAATACAATAAAATATCTGTCACTTGAAAAAAACAATCTTAAATTATAGATTATTAGTTTATTTCAACAGGAAAAACTGAAAGTAAATGAAAAAGTGGCCTTAAAGTCCTTCTTTACCCTATGTATATTTATATTAAGGTTTATTTGAAACATTTCAATATTATTTAGGGTATAAAGAGTTATAATTTCTGTGATAAAAATGGTTTGTTTAATTTTAATGTTTACAATAATGTTATCAACAAGTAAATAAATTTAAATATTTAAACTGTTTATATAAAACTTACAACTATTCAAAATTCACAATGTTTCTATAATAAAAGCAAGCACACTTGTTAACTCATCTTTCATTTGATGCCAAATGAAAAAGATAAAATCTTAAAGGAGAGGTCTATTACACCATCACAATTATTATTAGATGTTTAAACAATACCACACACCCATTTATTGTGAGCCTTCTCATGTTACTTCTCATGTTACACTTCTGCTGCGATTTATGTTGGAAAATCTATTTGTAAATTCCGGGTAAATTCAAGAAACTTATTAGGAAATAATCTCTTTTTGGTTACGGTATTGCAACCCAAATAAAATTATATGTACAGAATTTGCATTTTCTGGCGTTAATACGAAAGATGTGTTAATTTTTCAAGTAACCCAGCAAACAAAAAGATATCTAAAATGCATCTAATATGCATCTAAAAACTGGTCTAAAAGATGTCTAAATTCAGGTCTAGAACGGGACATAAATAGACGTCTATCTTGTAGACGTCTTTTAGATGCATTTTATTCGACACAAATAATTGCTTTAGATGCATAAAAGATGTGAAATATACATCTCACAGATGCATATTAGATGTATAAAATACGTCTCTTAAATAGATGTCTAAGGCGCGTTTAAAAAGATAGATAATAGATAATTTTTTAGCTAATAATAGCTCTTTTATGCATCTAATATACATCTAATATACATCTTTAAATGTATATTTCACATCTTTTATGCATCTAAGGCATTTATTTGTGTCGAATAAAATGCATCTAAAAGACATCTATAAGATAGACATCTATTTATGTCCCGTTCACGACGTGAATTTAGACATCTTTTAGACCAGTTTTTAGATGCATATTAGATATCTTTTTGTTTGCTGGGACTTGTTTGATTCAAAGGTGTTACAGCGGTTAAATTAGTCATAAAAAAGGATTAAATTAAATAAGTAAAGAAACATTTTAACTAACATTACTTAATTTTTATTTCACAAAAATATATATAAAAAACTATATTTCTTCATTGCCGTCAACATTTTCTTCCACGTCGCCGATATCTAAAATATAAACATTAATGACATTTAAATGACTTTAAAAGACATGTAGAATTCTGAATCTGTTTTTATAAAATATATATATATATATATATATATATATATATATATATATATATATATATATATATATATATATATATATATATATATATATATATATATATATATATATATATATATATATATATATATATATATATATATATATATATATATATATATATACACACATACAGTATCGGACAGAACCAGTGCAACCAAATGATGCTAATTTAGTTTCTTTGTATAAAAGTGATGCATTTTTTCAATTTAGAGAAATAACTATGTAACTGTTTAGAGACAACGTTCTTTAAATTTTATTCATCACAAAGTTCATTATTTGTACACGAAAAATAATAAATTAATCAAAAGTATTAAAAAAAAGTTGATTTCCTTCTGGACAAAACAAGTGCAACTCCACAAAATGTTGATCAAGCTGTATTTTGCTATCAATATTTTGTGGTGAATCCTTTGTTGCCTATTACAGTCTTGCATCTTTAAGGCATAGATTTGATCAGGTGATCAATGAAACTTTGTGGAATCGCTGCCTAGGCCTTTTGGATTTGTTCAAACAGTTCATCCTTATTACAAACATATTCATGATTAACTCTGCGGTTAATGATCTCGCACAGGTTCTCAATAGGGTTGAGATCCGGAGATTGAGGCGGCCAATCCATCACCATTAGATGGTTGTCTTAAAACCACTGCTTGACTACTTTTGCAGTGTGTTTGGGATCATTGTCTTGCTGAAAAACCCATTTTATTGGAATATTCCATTCAGCATGACGTAACATAACATCTTTCAGGATAATTTTATACATGAAACGGTCCATTATTCCAACGATTCGATGTATTGGACCTAGACCGTTAGCAGAAAAATACCCCCAGACCATCACATTGCCTTCACCATGCTTCCCGGTCTTATGGCAATAACGTAAATCAAGGCATTTTCCAGACGCTTGACATACTGGCAGCTCTAATTGCTTTTGTATCTCAACTGATGATATCCAGGGATCCTTCTTGACAGATCTGACGATCATAGAATTCTCTCTAGATGTGGTGGAACGAGGTCTTCCACCATTGTTATCTGCTGCCAACTTCCCTGTGGAACAATATTTAGAACATTGTCTTGATACGATCTATTTTTCACGCGACATTTATCACAAATACTTTTTTGTGACATTCCACTTAAGTAATCGCAAATATTTTCTCTCCAATCCAAGACTGTTGGGAACCATTTTTGCACTTGAAGTCATAAAAATAATAAAAATAAATAACCACACTTCTCAAGGCTTACCGTGTTACATTTACCTTGTGATGATAAAATATGGCTCTGTGGAACATAACGTCTTGGTTGGATGTGGACTGTATTGATGTAATGAAACACTTGTTGTATTTCACTTCTGGTATTGATGTTCTTCGATAAAACACTTTGATAAAACTCACTTCGATAAATTGTCTTGATAATACTGACTGATTGACTTCCATAAACTGACTGAATTACATGTCTCTTATATAGTAAAATGAACCTGTGTGAACCTGTTCTGGAAGATTCTAGATGCTTCTTTTCAATACTTCTGGAAGCTTCTGGATGCGTCTGAATGCTTCTGAATGTTTCTGGATACTTCTGGATGCTTCCTGATGCTTCTTCTGGAAACTTCTGGAAGCTTCTGCATGCTTCTGGAAACTTCTGGATACTTCCTTTAATTATTAAAAAACTTCCGTGACGTTGACACGGACCAGACTTGAGAAAATGAAACAAACCAAAAAAGTTGCACTTGTTTTGTATGCTGCAAAATGGCACTTGTCAACGAAACTCTGCCTGTGTGCTGTCACCTGTCAGCTGATTGCTCATATCATGGCATGCTATGACTCCAGACTCCTGAACTGTTTGCTGTGGTAGTATAGTTTGTTTCATTTTTAAGACAAAATTTTAAAATTAGGAACACTTTTTAGCATTGTTCGATGTTGGTTGCAAATGCTTTGTCCAATACTGTATATACACATATATACATGTATATATATACATGTATATATATATATATACATGTATATATATATATATACATGTATATATATATATATATATATATATATATATATATATATATATATATATATATATATATATATATATATTTTACCGCATTAATATATATATATATATATTAATGCGGTAATATATATATTACCGCATTAATATATATATATATATATATATTAATGCTGTAGTGGTGTAGTGGTAGAGCGCTCGCTTCATAAACAAGTGGCTCGGAGTTCGATCCCCACCACGTCCCTGGTAGTACTGCGCTCAACTCGTTTCTTCGCGCAGCGGCCTTATTCATCAAGGTTCGTGTTTCCGAGTTATAGAGTTGAGAGAGGGTTATAGTCACAAATAAGTAGCCTCCTTGTCTGTAGTGGCCTTCTCGGCCTTAAGGAGGCGAATTAAAAAAAAAAAATATATATATATATATATATATATATATATATATATATATATATATATATATATATATATATATATATATATAAACAAGAAGATTTGTATCTCAACCAGATACAATAATAAACACAAAATTTTTTATGAAAAAACTAAAGGAACTTGTATAATGGATACAAAAATTCTAGCATGACACAAAAAAGTCGAAGAATATATTTTTAATACAGATATCAGTTTTGTAAATACTATTAAAACTATACCTCGTTAAACACTCCATATATTTACTAGATTTTCTAAGTTTATCTTTTCCCCATTTCCTTTTCGATTAAATTTGGACTGTAACTGATTCGAAAATAACCTGATAAATATTTTAACAATAAACTGAAATATATTTATAAAGATTTTTATTTTAATATATGTAATAAATTCAAATATATTTTAATATATGAATGCTTAAAATTATGAAAAGTAAAAGCATTAAATTTGAAAAAAAAATGCTAAACCAGGTTTAGCATTACACTTACTTTAGCACACAAACGAACTTAAACACCTACAGTGAAGCTCCCGAGTTTATCAAATTGTCATGTTAAAAGTAAATCTATAACAAATAACGGTCAAAATGAATTGCTTTTGGTCCCTTTTAATCATATTTCTAATAATTAATAAAAACATAATCATTTATTTTTTCATGATCAAAAAAACATGTTCTCTTGGCTTTCCACCACCAATCTTTTTCAAACTATCAAGCTGAAATAAATGTAATAAAAACTAGTGTAACTTAAATTTCTTTACAACATTAATTTCATTAATGTTGTAAAACATTATTTTCATTATCATTTCATTATCATCATTGTAAAACATAAATTTCATTACAACACTAGCTACTTATTTTAGTTCATTTACAAATACTTTTCATTTAGATTCTAAACTAGTAAACCAAATTTAAACAAACTTATTAAAAATTAAGATAATTAGATTATACCAAATTAGTATACTCAGTTTTATCTTTTAGTTTATTATTCAGTGTAACCACTTCGTCCACTGATTCTAGCAACTTCACCCCAGTAGCCTGAAACTTAATTTCTATAACTTCTTTTAAAAGAACTTTTATTTCTGCAAGCTCGTTGAGAATAACATTTTGCATCTCTACAAACAAAAATAAAAAGATTGATTAACATATTTAGCTAATAAAACCAAATAGCAAAACGATGAAAAATGAACTTTAAAATTCAAATTATGCTTGAGTAACTCAAACTAAAATTCCAAAAATACATGTAAGTTTTTTAATTACTTTATCGCAGAAGTTGCCATAATATTTTGGAAAACCTACTTTTTAAATCAGCTAAAACTTTATCCTGTAAAAAGTTACGATATATAAATATATGTAACCAATTTAACAACATTACATATAATAGGACACCCAAATAGTTAAAATAAAAGGAAAATCTTAGTAATACATAAAAAAAGACTAATAGCTAGATAGATATTATTCAGATCAAATTAAACAAGAATCTATTTCAGTTTATAAACCATTAAGAAAAAAATATGATATTTGTGTTATACTTTTATCAGTGGGCTTACTCATAATAGGTGGCGGAGGTTCTGTCAATGAAGAGCGGTATGATTTGTTATTCTTATTTTTAATGCTTTCTTTAACATATATCTCATCTGATGTAGAAAGTTGTATTCTTCACAACATGAAAATGAATCTAATTATAAAACATTTTGCTACAAAAAAGTAATTAAGTTACCTTTAAAAAAAACACAAAACAAGTTAAATACTGACCATCTGCTATCTTACACTTTATCAATGGAAATTTGTGCCATTCTTTTGTTGACGAAAGGTTGTTTTTTAGTGCATGATTATAGTTTTTTTTTGGGACAATAAATTTGTTGCTATTCTTTGTCAATCCACTTCTCTAGTGCATAATTACTTGGTTAGAAAAACATGCAGAAAAACTTTCCTTTAAAGTTGGGTTATGCTTATACTCATAAGGCTTTTGGTCATAAAAGTATTCATTGTACAAAATCGATGACTCACGATGGTCAAAATATTCTTTTAGATTTTCGTAAGATAAGAAATCATTTTTTTTAGAAGTTCCAACATTCGATTTTTTTTTTTATATGTACTGACGAAAATTCTAGTATTTTTTAATATTCTTTTTGGACACGTCTACTGCGTCTCTTTTCGTATCCCCTTTTTGTAAAAGACATAAATGAATCTTGGTTCCTCGATAAAAACGATAAGTGCACAACCAATAAAACAATCTTTTGTGTTATTAAATATATATATATATATATATATATATATATATATATATATATATATATATATATATATATATATATATATATATATATATATATATATATACATATATTTTAATTACATTTTCTTTTATTCTAGAAATAAAAATATCAACTTGGAAATATTAATTTTGTAATATTTCTGCAAAATAAATTTAAAATCACAAAGATTTTAGCAAACATGCTAAGCATCAAATCATCGAAATATTTTGTGAACTATAATAGCATGTTATTTTATTATTTAAAATTTATCAAAAAAAATAATCATTGATGTCTTCCATAGGTTAAAATCTTCATGCTTTTTTTGAAATAAGTTTCTGCAGGGTTTTTAAATGGCGGTCATTTATAATTATCGCTCCGTAAAATTAGTTAAATTTTTTTTCTTGTTTTTATAACTAATCTATAAAAGACATCTTATAGACATCTAAGTTTAGATGAAAAAAAAATTATCTAAGCACGATCTATTTTATGCATCTAATATGCATCTAAAACAGAGCAAAAATAGTATCTCTAGAATCAGACGTCTTTTCGATCTCTAATATACGTCTAAAATATACGTATCGGCAATAGATACAAATTAGACCAATTTTAGACGGTCTAAAAGACGTCTATTGTTTGCTGGGAAGGAGGCTAGAAAGAAGTTTTTAAATGTTATTAAATACCTCCATTCTTTAAAAAAGTTTTCTATTCGAAATGTCTCATATTATTGCGACTGAATACGAGTTTTGTATGTATAATTTTATTTATGCTACAATGTTAGTATATGTTACCGCGACTTTACTCTGATGTAAGAAAAAAACAATTAAATATAACGTAGGACTAGGATTAAGAATTTGAAAAAACTTAGTTTTAGTTCAAATTAGATTTTTACTGTAGCGTTATAATTAGGGTTGAAAATTTCCCGGAAATTTTGAAGTCGGGAAAATTTCCTGAAAATTTCCGGAAATATTCCGGAAATTTTGGAAATTTTGGAAATTTTTAAATACTTGTTAAAAAAAAAAATTTCAGGGCTTCTCTGATTATTTTTATATGTTTACCATAATTTTACTGTTTTAATAAAGAAGGTTTATATAAATAAACTAATAAATTTCAGAAATAAATACCTAGGTATTCACTAATAATATTAGTAAGTAGTTCTAAAGTAAATCTAATGGTAATAATGGTAAAAATAACAATTACAACAACAACAATTATTTTAACAATGATGATGATAATGATGATGATGATGATGATGATGATGATGATGATGATGATGATGATGATGATGATGATGATGATGATGATGATGATGATGATAATGAAGATGATGATGATGATGATGATGATGATGATGATGATGATGATGATGATGATGATGATGATGATGATGATGATGATGATGATGATGATGATGATGATGATGATGATGATGATCAGACGTACTTTGAGATTTGCTACATTTTTTTTTAGATTTGCTACATTTTTGGGTAGATTTGCTACACCTCATAGATTCGCTACATTTTTTGGGTAGAAAAGCTACTCGACCCGGTAGAAATGTCACACGAGAATAGAAAAGCTACATGTCGCAATTCTATAAATAATTACGCTGTTACCGTTAAAAATCAGGCTAAAAAAATATAATTCAATTTAGCCGTTTTTTTGTAAGTGGTGTGCATTTAAATAAATCTACAAACTTACATGAACACTAATATGATAATAATTACTACTATTACTTTAATATTTTTTAAATGTATATTAAAAAAGGTATGTCTTCATAAATAAATTATCAACAATTTGATATATATTGTAGTACAATATATACTGTTGTACAATTTGTACAGCAGTATAAAGCATTAAGAAAGTCTAAATCATGATTGCTGATCCATCAGTATCATTTGATATATCAGGAATCACAATATACTTACAATCTCTTTAATACTCTTCCATTTATGTACTTGTACAAAACATTTAATGAGTTGACAACTCATAAAAACTTAAGCAAAGATACAACTCAGTTGAACTTTTGCTTAAACAATCAAGACTTATTTTCCTTTAGTAGTCTTTCTGGCATTTTTCTAAAATTTGAAAGTTTTAATACAAAATCGATTTAAGATTTTAGAATTTCTTTTGGTTTTTTTTAATATGAAAGTGTTATTCATTAACCGAATTTTAGTTAGTATTTTGGATTTCAAATAATTTTTGAAAGATGAAATTTTAGGTTGAATTATCTATGTCTATTACCACAGGTTTTTTGCTAATGTCTACTAAATATTTAGAAATAAAAATGTCATCTGTAATAGATTGTGTTTTGTGTAACAAAAAAGATGTGCAAAGTTATGGATTAAAACTTGGAAATGGGCAATCTATTTGCAAAGAGTGTGCAAGTAAGTATAATTTTATCTTTAAAAAGAAAAATATTAAAAAAATATTTAATAGACATTTATCATACAAACTCTCGCACACAGATATTTTTCAAGTTACAACTTCATATAAATTAATATCTATTTATATGTATTAATGTATATATATATATATATATATATATATATATATATATATATATATATATATATATATATATATATCGTTAAAATATGTTGATAAATTATTACAAAAAAAAACTTACTCAATGTGAAATTTGTATTTAAGGCTGTTCAAACAATATACTTAATATTGACGAATTTGTTGGCAGAGGTAATGATTTATACAGTTATTCAAATTTATAATTTTGTTCTATTTATAGTTGTCATTCGAAGAGCGGATTTAATAAAAGTAATTTTTACAGCGAAGTTTTTGTTTTTTATACTGATAAGAAAGGCAGACTTATTTAATAATCTTAAAGTTAATAATTTAGCATTTCAAAAGTTTTCAACAGAAAAGCTGAGAGAAATAGCTTCATCAACATTGCTAAAATCAGTTTTCAAGGGTCAAGTTAGTTTTTAGTATATTTTCAAGTATAAAGTTTTTGAAATAAGGCATAGTTATAAAGGTTATCTTTGTTATTACATTTTTAATAGCATAACCATAACATAAAAATAAAAATAACAAAACAAGTATAAATGGAGTTTTTTAATATTTAAAGTAAACACTATTTTAAATCTTTTTGTTAACAATTGTATGTTTTATCTAGCTTTACAGTTATAGACACAATCTATACAAAGCTGGTGGAGACGAAAAAAGTAGACTTTTTAATTTTTACTATATTACAGTTTACTGTTTAAATTTATATACTTATACTGAATAAAATATTTAATGGGTAAAGGTAAGAGGGCTCTTACTATTACTAATAATTTCTTTAAGTTTATATAATTACTTACTTTACTAAGTTAATATAAATACTTCAACCTTTAATTTTTTATTAGCTTTAAAAATTATAAACTATAGTAAGTATGTATTGTTTCAGGATATTTATGTGACATCGATTTGGTTGACTTGTTGTCTGATGAGCAACAGCATGCTCTATATAGTGCATTTGCTACCTCGTATAATGAATTAAAGGTGTAATTTTGGTTTAACATTTTAAAACAGAAATTGTATATAATATTAAATGTAGTGTTTATATTATATATATATATATATATATATATATATATATATATATATATATATATATATATATATATATATATATATATATATATATATATATATATATATATATATATATATATATATATATATATATATATATATATATATATATATATATATATATATATATATATATATATATATATATATATATATATATATAGTAGCAAATTAAATTTTTACTACTTGCCTGAAGATTGTAGTAACACATGAAACTTAAAGTTGCAATATCATATTATATTATAAACATTGGCACTTTAGCATTGGCATTATAAACATTGGCACTTTAGCTAAAAACAGTAATATAAGTAAAAACAGTAATATATCATTGTTATATAAGTCCAAAAACATTATTTTGAGATAATGAACAAATAAGTTTTTGCGTAATAGTTAAAAAATAAGTTTTTGTGTAATAGTTGAAATAAAAAATCTTATCTCATTAATAATTGATTTATTATATTTGTGTGTTATATTAATGATAGAGAATTTAAAATACAAATAAGTGGTACAAAATAGTGGTTTTGGTACAAAAATGGACTTTTGGCAGTATGGAGTTATTTATACCAGTGCATTTCCCTTGCACACTAAAAATATATACTATATAGCTCTAGTTTATCTCTTGAGCACTTGATATCATATATATTGTTTAAGTTTACAATATTATACATGATAATGTAAAGATGTATATACATATATATATATATATATATATATATATATATATATATATATATATATATATATATATATATATATATATATATATATATATTTTATATATATATATATATATATATATTTATATATATATATATATATATATATATATATATATATATATATATATATATATATTAAGTTAAACTAATAATTTTATTACTTTTTTTTCAGCTCAATGATTATGTATTAAAAGTGCTTGTACCTGAGGCAATAATATATCTGTTTGCTAAAACTGAACAGATTTCAAGAATCAAAGTAATTTATTTATTTATTTTTTTTTTAAGAGGTTTTTGTGTTGTGTTATGTTGTGTTGTTTTTTTTTTAATTTTTTTCTTATTTTAGGCTGAAGTCATATTAAATTCCTACATTTCAAAAGGGTAATATATATATATATATATATATATATATATATATATATATATATATATATATATATATATATATATATATATATATATATATATATATATAATTTTTTTTTTTTATTATGTATTAGTTATTATGAACTTTTCTTTTTTTTTTAATAGACTTTTGCGAAGTTTTGAGAATTAACAACTTTTAAAGTTTAAAAGTTTTAAATTTTATTTAAATCATATTTAGAATTAATGAAAGAGACCAAGAATCAGAAAGTAGTATAAATGATGGGTCTGGTATGTAATTTTTCATTAACAATTATTTATTTTATTTCATTCTATTTGGATTCTTTTTAAACTGAAATATTTTTCCTGAAGCAAGATTTGTTTTCTTTATCTAGTGGTTAGCGCTGAGAATTTTTTTATACATTTACTGCAAAAGAAAGAACAGCAAAGTAGGGTTTTTTTTTTTTTTTCAACACAAATAAATTACAAGACTAAATTATTTTTTGGCTCTTAGAGAATAGCCGTTTAATGAAGTGGGCTCAGTATGATTCTTGTATAAAAGGTATTCTTTAAAATTTAAGATAATTTTCTCTCTCTCTCTCTCTCTCTCTCTCTCTCTCTCTCTCTCTCTATATATATATATATATATATATATATATATATATATATATATATATATATATATATATATATATATATATATATATATATATATATATATATATATATATATATATATATATATATATATATATATATATATATATAAAATAATATACATATGTATTTTAAATTTTAACTTTAGAAACTAATACTACTCTAGTTAATGAAAAGGTAATGTATATTCTATATAATAAAAATATTTATCTGATATATATATATATATATATATATATATATATATATATATATATATATATATATGTGCGTGTGTGTGTTGATACAAAATTCTTGTGTTGGTGTTTGCAAAGTATTTGTTTATTATAATTTAAGAAAGAGTTACCAGAACAAAGTGAATTAAAAATAAACATGACTTTATTTAACGAAGACTTTGAATCTAACGTAAGTTAAATATTTATATTTAATTGATTATGAAAATGATTTTTTTTTTTAAATATATTAATATTTTATGCTTTTTCAGTTTTCCTATTTATACCTTATTATTTAGGAAGGTGTGGTCCAATGTTTGTTAAATGATTTAGTTGAAAAGGTAAGTTTTATTGTAAAGTACTGTTTAATTTGGTTGATAAAATATTTAAATAATTACAAATATTTTTAATATCTCTATTAGTTAATACATTGATGGTTAAAAATATTATTATCAAAGTTGCCTAATTTTTTTTTTTAAAAGTTCATACAATAAATTAAAAATGAATTGATCTTCAAACCTTATAAATCTATAAAATAATGTTATCAGTTAAAATTCATCATTTTCAGCACCAATAAAGATTAAATAACTGTAGCTATTTTTATATCCTTTTTAGGTAATATTTATTTTTATACTTTTTACACATCCTTTACTGTTTTTCTCTACAAACTATTGTTAAAACTTTTAGGTTTGTGCTTATGTTGATGATAGTATTGATTTTATCAAACAAGACTATCCTAAAACTGTAAGTTTTTTTAAAAAATTTTAAATATTTTAATTTATTAAGTAGCTCAGTGTTTTTCTTTCGTATTTCATTTTATATTTCTCTACTATTTTTTTTTTTTTTTCTATTATTTTTAATTAGAAAAGTTATGCAAATGAAGCTAGTTTTACCTTAACCGTTCAAGAAAATATAGTTAATTGTACAATGGATTTGCTTTGTGCTAAAAAGGTATATATTTTTTAAAACAAAATCCTCTACAAAATCCTCTACAGTTCAGTAGTAATTAGTATAGTCTCTGGCAATAAAATCCTTTTATACATTTATTCTAAATAAATATTTAACTGTGATCATTATATTATATTCAATCATTTTTAAATTTTTTTTTAGTAACTCTGTACTCTAGTATGCTTAATACACAGAAGGGGACATTTTTTAATTCTTGGAATTTTTTTTCTACCCAACCCAAGTTTATAAAGACCTCTCCATTTATCAACGCTTACTTGGTATCAACAAAATATTTGATTGAAAGCCACTCAATTAACACAAAAAATTAACTTGTTTTATGCATGTTTTGTAAAGAAAAACTCTCACCCACTCTCTCATTAAGATTCCCTCTCCCATTTCCCTCTTCCAACACCCCTCCTCCTTTACCTTTTATTCCTAACCCCCATTGAATTAAGCATGTGAGAGTAATATCAATTATTATTTCTTTTAAAGAAAAGTTTTGATTATCAAAATATATTGTTTCAGAATATATTTCACCATAAATGTGATGTTGCAGATGTAACTGAAGTTAAAAGAATTTCGTCAAAATTAGGTTATATTTTATTAAATATCTTTATTTATTTAAATTCTTCTGCTAATTTTTTTTTCAAATCTATTTTTTTTTTTTTTTATAGGTTCTCAAATTCATACCATAGTTAATAATAATAACATTAAAAATAACTACACAAAACATCATTCAGAAGATACTCAGAAGCCTTCCTCGCAGTTAGTCAATAAAAGAACAAAACACAAAAGTGCAGAAAAACCAAAAAGAAATAAGAAATTGTGTCCTATTCCAGGGTGTGGGGCAAAGGTTGTTAACTTGCCAAGACATATAAAATTATCTAAAAAAAGTGATCATCTTTTGTTGAAAAAATCTGCTTCTAAAGTAGTATCTATTTTCGGACTTCGAAACTCCAAAAGTAACAATGCTGATATACATTATCGTAAAAAAATGAGAATTTGTCCTGTTGATGGATGCTTTTCAGTTATCTTAAACTTGTCAGATCACTTTAAAAAGTCTCATTCGGAATTATTTAATAATACAGAGCTTTATGGTAAAATGCGAAATAAAGCAACAGTTATGATTGGCTATGAAGAAGAAAAAATTGTATCTATTTTTAAGTCTAATAACAGAGAATCAGAAGATAGTTCTACCCATTTAGAAAGTGATTCTTCAGAAAGTAATTGTAGTGAATACAAAAAGTTTATCTATAAAACAGATTCTTTGTATTCCGAATCGCTACCAACAGATAGCGATTCAGAATACAATGTTGAAGGAGACAAACAGATGAGTCTATAGATGATTTTTTATTCGATGATGGAGATGAAGGATCAGTTGATAATGTTTTAAATGCTTTTGAAAATCATTTATTGGGTTTTGAAGGTGGGAAAAAGAAAAAAAAACCAGCTCGTCAATGTAAAAATCAAGTGAAATCAATTCTTAATTGTGTTAATCCTTCACTTTCGTCCTTTGATTCTTTATTTGATATTCACACTCTGCGAAACTCTTGGCTGCCATGGGCATTAGCTCCAGGTAAAGGTAAAAGCGGTAAAGGACATTTACCAGGAACATTAAGGTCATATCTTGGTTCGCTCAGCAAATTTGTAGAGTTTTTGATCAGACAAAAAACGGTTTCTTGGGCAAAAAAAATATCTGTACCGTGCACAGTTAATTTAGATACAATGAAAGGGTTATTAAAAGATGTCAAAAATTGGAGGTCAAGTTATTGTGATGAGGTTGATCAACGTGAATGGGAAGTCTTAGAAAAAGATCTTGTTAATATGATCAATCCAGAGGAATTTCAAAAGGTATATAACTCAGAGGTATCTCTTCAAGCAAGAAAGCTGCTTAATATGCCAATAATATGCGATAGTAATGATTTTAGTAGAGATAATTTCGTTTTAGTAAGAGATTATTTAGCCAGTATTTGCTGCTTAAGAAATTCGGCTCGTGCTGGAAATTGCATTAATATGCTTCTCGGAGAATTTGAAAACGGAAAAGTTGATAACAGCACTAATAATATTATAATAAATGTCAAACATCATAAAACTAAACGAAAGTACGGATCAGCCCAAGTTGTACTAACGCCTGAAATCAATAGTCAAATGAAATGTTATGTTGATTTCTTCAGATCCAAAGTTGCAGAAATTAATGATGAAAACCCATCAGATCCAGATAAGAGCTTGTTTGTGACATGGTCGTTCAAATCTCTTAATGGATTTTCTAGACAACTTGATTCCTTTTGGAAGAAAGCTACCAAATCAAACAGGGTTTGTCCAGTTTCTGCAACTCTTATTAGAAAAAGCATTACTACCACTTTTTATTCTTCTGAGGATATAAATGATGGCCTTAAAGAAAGCCTGGCAAATCACATGAAACATAAAAAAGAAACAGCCGCTAGAAATTACAATCTCATAAAGACAATGAAAAATGCAGCTGAATTAACAAATAAAATTGAAAAAAAAATTTTGATTCCAAACGAATGTAAAAACCAAATGAATAAATGTGCTGAAAACCTTTCTTATCAAGATTTTAATAATATTGTTAACGAGCCAACAGCTAGTACGAGTACAATAAAACGAGGATGGACCCCAAATGAAATTGCAGAAATTTTGCATCTTTTTAAGGATCATGATTTTCAAGGTTGCTATATTCCGTATATTCGTGAAAAAATTAAAGACAATCCGGTTCTACAATTTAGGAATCCAAAATCCATCTATGACAAGCTGTTATCGCTAACAAAATCAATAAATGCAGATGCCTCCAGGATCGATGATGAAATTTGTGAAATTCGTGAAATGGATCATGGCGATAAACGTACCTTAATGGTTATTTTCAAGAAAGAAATTAGTCGATGTTTACCAATTATAGAAAGCTTAGTCAGACAAAAATTAGAAAGTACTGACCATGGTCAGCGGTTATTAGAAAAATATGGAATTAATAAAATTATTAACAAAATTAGATACGAAAAAAACATATTAAAAAACTCTTACTGAGGATGTATATATATGTCTTACTGAGAATAATATATTTTTTGGAATAAACTTTGTTTACTTATTTCCTTTATGTTTTGAGCTTTTTTAATGACCATTGGAAATAAAAAACGTTTTGAGCTTTTTTACTGATGACCATTGAAAATAAAAAATATTTTTTTTAGTTACAAGTATTTGACATTTTAACTTTACTTCCAGGAAAGAAAAAATATGTAGTTATCCGTATAGTTTTTAATATAAAAAAATACATGTTTATAGTTTAGTATATTTATTACAAATAATACATAAAATATAACACATAGAGTTAAGTGCCTAGTCGTCACCGCAATCGTTGTCACATTGTGTCTTTATTTTCATAGTCTCGATTGTCACACATTTGCCACTTAAAAAGCGAACAGAGTTTTTTTTTCCGATACGATTTCGGAACTTTCCAGGAATTAGTTTTTGCTCTGCGTGTTTTTTAGTGACCAAGTGGCGACAACAAGACGCATGGCAAGGATTCTTTTACCCTATGTGTTGATTAATAAAAATTTTAAATGCAAATACGATTTTTAATTAACAAATGCGATCTTTGCTTTAAATTATAATATTTCAACCAATTGCCTGTTTTTTTGATTTGCTTGATTGCTTGTTTGTTCATTGTTTTAAATAGTTCATAAGTAATGTTTCTTAATTCAATAATGGCGATCTACTTTACCTTTGATAGGTTAATTAATATGACTTGCACTTTTGAAATTTAAAGTAAATTAAAACACAGAACTGAAAAGAGTCTAGAAAGTTTTTGCCTCTGGTTTTGACTACGATTAAGTATTGTGAGTAGATTTCTAAACAGAATTAAGGAACTGGGAGAAAAAGATGTGCTATTATATTAATATTTGTTTATCTTTTCGATTCTGAAATTAAGAATCGCTTGCATATTATTTTGCACATTAGCAGTGACAGAGCGGCGTTTCTTTATTCTAAATTGAAAAAGTGTTTATCAAGTTTCAATAAAAGTTAGTAGTCTAGCGTTAGTTATTATCAGAAATAAGGTAACCAAAATATCAGATTTAGAGAAACTATTGGACCAGTTTGAATCATTTATAACACAGAAAAATTAATGAAATTATCTTACCTTGAATTAGTTGCGTTACCATTTTTTTAAATTTTTATCGTTGTGCGCTTTTTATTCTCTTTTGTTATTCTTATTTGTTATTTTATTTTTATATCTAATTTCATGCTACACTTTTGAGTGCAGATTAGAACATGATCACTTATATTTACATTTTTTGAATTCCATAAAAATTGCTATAGGGATGACACATTTCTATAAAGCTTATACTGTGCCATTACGGCACATTACTAGAAAACTCTAGAACATTTATATTCAGTGAAAAAAAAAAAAATACGGGTGATTAATGGATCTGTCCAGCCAGGTGGACCTAGAGATGTGATACTAAAGGCAGATTATAAATGACGTTGTTTAGAGAAAATCAAATGCAGATAGATATCCAGATAAGTAGTATGACTTTTATAAGTGGCAGAATTATACTTTAAAACTCAGAAGAGGAAAAACAAAAAAAAGTCATATTTTTTATTCTCTCCAAATAAATTCAAATCTCTCTACTTCTGCAAATGATGGTTGTTTAAATGGCTAAAAGACTATCAGGAAAAAATGTGGTCAAGGAGAATAAAAATATATGCATAAAAGACATTCAACATTTTTCGAACCCAGGATTGCTCGTATGTAGCAAATCTATCTAAAATCTGCCGAGTGAGACATTATTAAAGAACCCTACAATATTTATAATCAGTGAAATAATAATAGAAAAACATTTCATAGTTGAATATGTAAAATATTAACTTTTTATCCCCAGTAAGCTTTTTTAAAGTTAGATTAATTTATTTATTTCTCATAAAGTTCTCATAAAATTTTTGTAAAAGTAGAAATGCTGCATTTTAGTAGCATTTCTAATCCCGACGGAATGATGAATATGCTCCTATTATAGAACCTCAAAGAAAAATAATCACTTTTTTCCAAACAAATTTCAAATACCGCGTGTAATGTTTCTGTAGCTATATAAAAGTCAAAATTTCTAATAATTTTTTGTATAAAATTGAAAATAAAGCACAAAAAGAAAAAAATTTATAAAATGGTTAGATTTGCTACAAAATAGTAGCAAATCTAAAAAATTTCAAAATGATAACGAGAGCTTAAACATATTTAACAAAGATGAATCACAAAAATAATTTCAAAGTTTTTTCGAATCTTTAATCTTTTCTATAAAAAAGTTAAACTGGAACATAGCAACCTAACATTCAGCCAGAAAAACGACTAAAATGTGAATTATGGCCAGTTTTAAAAAAATACTTTTTTTTAAAACCAAAGTTTTAAAAAATACGCAAAATCTGCGACTACTTTATATTAACTGTGTAATTGATCCTGAATTAATTTTTTTTTCTTTATTTCTCAAAATTTAGGATATTTGTATAGATGAAAGAAGATGAATGATGTGCAAAGGTAAACTATCAAAGGATACCAACATGAATCACTTCCCTTCACTGTATTTCACTGCAATTTGATCATTTTTTATCGCACAAATAGAAATGTTACATAAAAAAAATAAAATGCGGAAATATTGTTTTAAAAGTTAAATTTAATGCTTAAATTATAGCTAAGATAAAAGTTGACATGATAATAAGTATAAAAATACTTACATAAACTATTTTTCCGCAAAAATGTCTAAATTTCCTTAACCGATAAAGTATGTAGCAAATCTATCGTGTAATACGTCTAATGATGATGATGATGATGATGATGATGATGATGATGATGATGATGATGATGATGATGATGATGATGATGATGATGATGATGATGATGATGACGGTGATGATGATGATGGTGATGATGATGATGGTGATGATGATGATTATAAAAATATGATTATAAATTAAAGTACTAACAGCTTTTTTAAATAAAATAGATAAGTAAATAACTTATTTACTTATTTATTTTATACAATATTATGAATTGGTAAAAGTGCAATATTATTAATTTTTTGGTGTATAACTTATAGTATTTTAAGTAGTATTAAAACTTTATAATATTATAGATGCATAACTTTATTGTATCTGAAATGATTGCTACACAAACATTCCTTTTTGACATTTTTTAATGATTTATATAAAGCTCTCAACCTAAACCAAAGAATAGGTGATACAAGAGAAACAACAAATAACTTGCCATTATATATGTTATATAATTAAATAAGTTTTTTACTCTTTTTGAAATAATAACAATAAAAACATTACAAAAATACTTTATAGGTATATTAGTACTATAGCTATA